ATGGTATAGCCTACTGCACGCCTGTGTTCGAGGCTACAACCCTGTACAGCATGTCACTGTGAAAAACAGCATGAGATTAAATCAAGGAGAAAACGTTGCAATCAAGAGATGGGGTAAACTCCAGAGCTTTGAGGCTGCTGCCTTTATAACATGACATAATTTTACAGCAGCCTTTTTTTTTTTTTATAAGCAGAAAGAGTGCACTCTAAGACAACAATAAAAAGTATAGTTCTCAGTCAGCCTGTGGACTGAAGGGTCCCAGATTTGATTCCAGCCAAGGGCACATGCCAAGTTATGGGCTTGATCCCCAGTAGGGGGCATGCAGGAGGCAGCCAATCAATGATTTTCTCTCATCATTGATGCTTCTGTCTCTCTCTCCTTCTCCCTTCCTCTCTGAAATCAATAAAAATATAAAAATAAAATAAAAAGTATAGTATAGTAAATATATAAAGCAAATAATGTAGTCATTTGTTATCATTATTAAAGTATGTACATTAAAATATGTTATCATTATTAAAATATCATTGTATGTGTTATGCTTTTATACAACTGGCAGTGCCGTAGGTGTGCTTTCACCAGCATCACCACAAACACGAGAACTATGTTGTGCTATGAACTTACAAGGCAATGGGAATTTTTCAGCCCTATTATTTTTTTGAAGCATATACACTGTAGAGTTTCTTGATTTTAATTTCTCTTTAAACTTATTTGTCACCAGTTAAAATAAAGGTCATTTAAAATAAGTATTACATGCATTTCAGCTTTTTTCTAATGTAGCATTTAACAGATGTTTTTTAAAAATTAAATTTATTGGAGGTGACGCCGATTAATACAATTCTATAGGTTCTAATTTTACCATTCTATAATACATCATCTGTATATTGCATTGTGTCTTTACCACCCAAAGTCAATTCTCCTTCCCTTATCATATATTTGACCCCTTTCACCTTTTACTACCTCTCCCAACCCCCTTTCCCTTGGTAACACTCATACTATTGTCTGTGTTTATTTATTTGCTTGTTTCTTTGTCTTTTTGGTTCATTTGTTGTTTTCAGTTCAGCCCCATTATAATCTATGAGAGCACAGTCACCTATGTGGTCTGTTGCTGACAAAAACATCTGGTGTGACCTCTGACTTGTATCCTGGTCAGGTTTTTCCTGTGGAGGACCAGCTGGTTTTGACTTGCTCTGTGAAACGTGGGGATGCTCTTGTATGTATGAAATAGAACCAAATGACACATCCCAGCTTTTTGAAAACTTTTGTTATCAAGTCTGAGGTAAAAAGGTGATAATTTTTGAGTCATATTTTGACTTTCCATGTAGTTTGCCTTCCATGCTGGCCTGAGCATATCTCTGGCATAGTTGCCTATCACATTATTTTATAATGTTTTTAGTCTCGATTTGTGTTATGTCTTTCTCTTAGTTCTATACTCAGTACCCTCGATAAAGGTTGAATTGAATGTATAAGATGCAACAGAAAAAAGCAAATTAAATTGCAGCTGTTTGGAAATGAGAAATCACCACACAGTAGTGACAGAGCACCATGACCTTTGCCTTAAATTTTTTTCCAGTAAAGAGAGAATTGCACGTATTGCAGAGCAGATTTCCCAATACTTGTGTTCTGTCATATGATTTCTTGAAACTGAACAAATCATTAAAATCATAAAAAATCATAATTTTTTAATATTTTAACATGGGATAAAACTGAGGTGTCACATCTAAGTTACACAGCTTACATACAAAGGTAGATTAGAAGGTTAGTTTTAATAGCACAAGAATGAACCTTGAATTTTCTTTGTTAAAGAGAAAACTTTTCCAAAGAAGAAATTTCACTTCTTGATTCTCTTCTTATGTAGGATTAGAGTGCATTTTATAGTATATATCTATTACCTGTTGTCTATTGTGGCATATATTATTATATAAGTATTTTATACATAGATACCTAGCAATCTGGTAAATATATTTCTGTATTGTTTTGCCTCAGATGCAGGAAAAAATTTAGGTATGCTTTGGGTTTATTTTGGTTTTGCACTATATAAATTTAGGAACATTACAAGTTAATATAATTCCTACAGTTTGGATTACTTACTATTCATGTCAAAATTTTGTCTGCCTTTTCTTTAGGAAGCTCTGTAATTCTAATTAGGAAATTATTCTCTATTACAATGGTCAATGTGACTGTAATCTCTGGTGAAAATTTGTAATATTATATCTCTTATTGCTTAGAAATATAAAAAAAAAACACTTTTTTTTATGGACTGCACTAGTTGGAATCTACAATACTTCTCAGTCTGGGATAGCAAATGTTACATTTATGTTTCCAGTCTTAAAGAAGCAGTTCCTTTTTTTATTTATTTGAGGGCTCCTCTTTATTTACCCTTTAAACACTGGTGCTCCTTTGGTTCTCTTTTATGATCCATTTTTTCCCTTCCTTTCTTCCTTACATGATTAACATGGACTGAGTTCATGTGGTGTAGCAGGACAGGGCCATGCTGTACAGCTGAGCAGGTTGTGTACTGTCCAATTCCAGACTCAGTGCCATCGGGACTGTGCTAGCTAATATACAACCTCTCATTTAACCTCACAATAACCTGTGAGATGATATCATTCCTATTTTACAGGAATTTGGGGCTATGTTAAAACTTGTTTACACTTATATGATAATGAATAGAGTTTATATGGGTTCAGAGTCTGTTCTCTCAACAGCATGCCACCTTTTGATACCATCTTGGTCATCTCATCTATGGCCACAACCAAAATGATGGTAATTACTAAAAGATCCCCCTCCCCCCTTCCCCGATCTCTCTCTGCTGCCAGCCTACTAGACAGACCTCCCACTATGTCCATCAGGCATCTCAGGATCTGGACAATTAAAATGGGATTGTCATCATTTTCCTGACTGCTCTGCCTTTATTCCCAATTTCACTTAGTGGCACCAGCAGCCTAGGCTCTCCTCTCTCCCTTATCTCCCACTTCCAGTGATCTTTTGGGTCCTATGAATTCTGTTTCTGAAATCGTTCTCCATCTGTCCCCTTCTTTTTCATGCCAGTTGTCACTTTTGTTAGTTGAGGCCCTCATTCTTTTATTCTTTTATTCTGAACGCACCCATTCTGTCTGAATTATAAAAAGCCTCGCCCAAAGTCTCACATCTCTAGGCCTTCGCATTGGCTGTTCCCTCTGCCTGCTTCACCTTTCTCCACCTTCCCCAATCAGCTTACTTGAGGACTCAGCTTTAAATTGCTTTCTCAGGAATATCTTCCTTTATTCTTTTCATCAATCCCTTTCCTTAAGTTAAATTATTTCTCTGTGAATTCCTGGGCATGTCATGTCTAAGTCTATCATATCAGTCATCAGAATACCCTGAGAACTGATTTGTTCGTCTGACTCCTTTCCAGGACTAAGAGCTCTCTGTGGATAGGACTATATCCAACTTACCTTTGTTTTCCCAGCTTCTAGCAGCTTTTCTGGGAGGAGATAAAAAATGCTTGAGGGAATGAATGATGCACACAGTGGACTCGTTAGGTGGATAGGAAAGCAATACTGTAGTGTTCTACATGCTTATATAAAAAACTCTTTTATGGATTGCAGTGGTTGGAATCTACTTCTCAGTCTGGGATAGCACATGTTACATTTATGTTTAGATAGTCCAACTAAAAGTTGAGTGCAATTTTTATTCACTTGCATGCTTGATGATAATGCTGATGCTATTTTAATTATACAGTATATTTTTTCTCTCTCTCTCCCCTCCCTTCCTGGCTATTGACAACAGGCAGCCTGATTGTTGCTTAACCTATGTTTTCATTCATATTGGCAGCAGCTTCTTCCCTTATCCTGTTGATAAGGGATTATAACTCAATTGCATGGTAATTTCAAAAGTGGACTCTGCGTTGAACTTTGGTTTAAGGTGCCAAACTTTTTGCACCAACACTAATGTATAAACCTATGCCTAAGAAGGTGCTTTATTACCTCTCCTGATCCCTTCAACGATGTTCACTACATTAAGAAAATGCGCTGAGGTTGGTTATCTCAGAACCTGCTCCTGCCAAATTTGAAGTTAGACATATGTGGGGGTGGTTTTCATTTAGCATGTATCTTTTTCATCTAAGACAGACTTAGTCTCATTCCAGCCCTGCTCCCTATCTCTGTGGTCAGCAAAGCTCGCGAGACACCTGCGACTCTTTGACCCCTTGAGTGTGGCTCTTCCACAAAATATCATGGCCTGGGCGAGTCTATTTTGAAGAAGTTTAAGTTTAAAAAATTTGGCTCTCAAAAGAGATTTCAATCGTACTTACTGTTGATATTTGGCTCTGTGGACCAATGAGTTTACCGGCCACTGCCCTATCTGGTTCAGGCCAACAACTTAAATCTCCCTGGACATCAGTTTCCTCATTATTAAAATTGAGCATTTGGACTAAACTAGCCAGGGGAACTTTTCAAACTCAACTGTCCTCTGGCTCTATTACTTTGTGTCCCCATTGTGAATTCTCTTACTGTCTTATTTCCCTCCTCCCCCACTATGGAGGGGTCCTCCCACGGCACCCACAGATACACTGTGTTCTTTAGCACCTGGCTTTGACCTGGAGGTTTTCTTCAACCTGGTGGAAGTTGGGAAGCAACTTGCTTTGTGCTCTTCCTTCACAGGCACGCTCGGATCCCTTCCATGAGGGTTCGAGAGTCCCTTCTTTGCAGGAAGTGCATTCCTGAGTGCAGTTGCAAAAGGAGGTTGCAGAGTGAGTACCGAATGATTCTTGTATCAGACTAAAGATTTTTTCTAAACTGCCACAGATTTGGGACCTATGGAGGTTGTGGGGAGCAAGGGTATAATCTATTGTAAACTTTCGACAAATTAAGCGTCTAAGGTTTCAGAGTAAGAAAGGCGTGTCATAGTTCCCCAGCTTCCAGATCACTTGGTTACATTTCCTTTGATAGTACAACCTGTTAGGTTACTAAGTGTTCCCACATAATTTGTTGACAAAGCGTTTCAAGCAAAATCATTGTTTTATAAAAGTGTGCCAGTATTTTGTGAGGTAAACTAAGACGGTCTTGATTTCATTTGCCTGCGTTTTCATTTTACCACTTGACACAAAAGGACAAAATCCAGGTTCAGGGAGTTTATCACCACCCGCCAGTATCACATGAAATGTTAGAGGGTCTTCTTTAAGGAAAAGAAGACAAAAAGATTAAAAAAAAACAAAAACAACCATATGAGCAACAAAATGGCAATAAATACATATCTATCAACCATTGAATCTAAAAAACAAGCAAAGCAAACAGTCAGCACAGGAACAGTCTCAGATGCAAAGAACATTTTGAAGGTTGTCAGATGAAAGATGGTTTTTTTGGGGGGGAGGTGGGGTGGGAGGGTGAAAAAGGTGAAGGGCTTAGGGGAGTACAAATGGATTGTTCCAGAACAGTCTTGGGGATGTAAAGTACAGCATTGGGAATATAGTCAATACTATTTTAATAAGTAGGTACAAGGCATATTTGATGAGATGTGCATGGAAAGTATTTCTAAAAACAGTTTTCTGGCAAGGTGGGAAGGCTAGGTCTGGGCTGATGGAAGTAGGAGAAAAACATTTAAAAAGAGCTGGGAAGCAGGGAGACAAAGGTGCCCGTGGAGGACCCAGTGCAGAGAAGCAGCAAGCTCTCAAGGCCAAAGGTGGCCTGTCTGGGCGGGAGGAAGGACGCTAGGGGCTGCTGCGGGGCACCCCGCTCCGCTCTCCGTCTCAGACGGCCGGAGGGGAGCCGGAGGCGGGAGACGGGATTGTTGCGTGGCTCCGGGGCGGTGGGGTCAGGGTTAAGACCATCACCTGCAGTTGAAGTGCGGCTCTGCTGGGAAGTAGGAAGTGCCGCGCCTGAGCTTCCTGTATAAATAAACGCCCGGCTCCTGGCGCTGCTGCCGCCGCTGCTGCTGCCGCTGCTGTTGCTGCTGCTGGCGAGCTGCGCCCCACGCTCTGCAAGGCTCGGGGCACCGCTGCAGCTCCCCAGGCAGGAGGCGCTTGGTGATAGGTCCTCCCTCCTCCTCCTCCTTCTCCTCCTCCTCCCCCTCCTCCTCCTCTGGCCCCATAGGTCCGGGAGCCGAGTCCTGTTACAGCCCTGCAGAGCGCAGAGCTGTCAGCTGCAGAGCCCCGAGGAGGACGAGGCAGAGAACGAAGCAGCTCCCCCTCCGGGTGTGCGGGTGTGCGGACTAGAGGCTGCGGAGAAGCCCGGCGGCGGAGGACCCCGGCTCTTCGGCCAGGTAGGTGCAGTAGGCTTTTCGAAAGCTGCAGGCGTTACAGGACCTGGGGTGGTGGACGAAGAAAAGGAAAAGGGGCTAGACACTGGGATACCACGGGGTTTTAGCTTTAGGTCCCGGGTCTTGTACTTCAGCCCTACGGAACTGAATTCATTCTGAAAGCCTTTAGACACCTGTTAACTTTTAAAAATAGATGTCTTTGTAAAGGTGAAGAGAAGCCAGTTTAATTTGCACTGAAAACAGTCCACCGAATGTATTGGAAAATTCAAGGTTAGATCAAACCCTCCCCATGTCTTAAAAGGGAGACCAAAAGTTGGCATGCATAAGCTCAGCTGTTTACCTTCTGTTACTTGGAAATACACAGCAGTATGTTGACACACATAGATGTTAATAAGCTGTTATATTATCGATGGGTTCTTGGCCATACATCATGCTGATTGTTTTGTCAGGTAATTGCTGATAAAAACAAAGCGAAACTCCGATCTTACACTGCTGTGCTCCAATTTAAGTTAAAATGAAACCAGCTCCTGCTGTTTCAGCAGAGGAAAGGTATTTTAGCTTAGCTTTTCCAGGATCCCTTTTGCCTTTGTCGTGAGTTTCAGTGATCCCGCTGTAAGCCTACTCCTGATGCATATACTTCTCACATTCAGATTTCTCAGAAATGAATTCTTTCGGGGAAAATGTTCTTTGTCTTCCTGCATCCACTAGAGTCACTCACTTTCTTCTTTCTGCTGCACATGGATCTTATCAAAACATGAGCTGGGGCTCCTAACAGGACTCTCCCGGTTCTTCTCACTTGGCACGTCTGGGATGTGTATTTGGATTTAGCCAGGTATGAATTAAAGAAAAAGGTATCTAACATCCCTGAAGCAGCAGATTGGGGGTGTCTAAGCAGAAGCGAAATAAATGAACTTGGAAGTGACTCAGTTTTTAGGGTGTGGGTAAGAGGATGAGGAAACCCAGCCAGTCTTCCCTGAGTTGCTGGCTAAGTAGAGTATGAGGCTGCTGCAGCTTTCACTGCGCTGAGCCTCTTGATCCCTGGTGCTTTCCACCTCAGATTCCTCTGCTGGTTCTTCCTTATCCTCCCTCTGTCCTCCCTTCCAAACCCTGTCTTCACGAGGAGAAGGGGGCGGGAGGGAGAAAAAGAAGGATAGCTATAGCAGATGCACAAAGCCATTTGGAGAGAATTGTATTAGGAAATCCAAGGCCACCTTTTCTCCCAGCTCCTCCTTCCTCTTGCACACCTGGGACTGGTATTTTATTCTTTGTAGTGGCATAACCTGCGAACAATAGGAAAGGGGAAGAGAAAAAAAAAGAAACCTGTTTTAAAAATTAGCCTCTGACTAATTGAATGGCAAACTTGTATAGAGAATATATATATAAAGGATTGAGTTGCTGAATTGGGTTGCTCGGCTTTTTATTTTAAAACAAACAAATAAAAAAACTCAACCAGAAAGTCCCCCAAACCAATCACCCTAGATAACTTGCTCCTACACTACTACTGTGCTGGAAGTGAGGCTTAAATGTGGTCAAACACTGTCTAAACCCAGAGTTTTACAAATATTTACAGTCATCTATGCCAAATATCTTTGTGCTGAGCCCCAAGAACATTCTCAGCACTCAAAAGCCTCATTCTCATGAATGGCTTCAGTTCATTGGCAATTTGAAGGCATCCAGGCTTTCAAACTAGGTCAGTTTAAGATGTCTTAAAAAAAAAAAATTAGTGTTTGGGTCTCCCAGATTATGACCAAGTTTTCTCAGCCAAACTCTACAGCGGAGAGAGAAGTTACGCTCTATCTGGAAAGAAAAAAAAACCACAAAAACAAAAAAAAACCTTATTTTGTCTTTTTTGTAAGACCATTTAACTTCCTGGAAGCTAGCTTCCTCTCTAATAATATGAATACATTTAAATCTAAGAAAGTATATTTACATTTTTCTTCCTGAAAAGTAGTTTCAATATTTTAGATGTTGAGAAACATTTCCGAGGCACCAGAATCATTTCTAGGTAGTGTTTCTACTAATTTTGGCTTGTGTGTTGCCCCTGGCCTTGACTAATGACATTACTTTCTTGTTAAGTGAGGTGTGCAGTGTTTGAAATCTCCAGTTTGAAGCAGAGGTCAGGAATCATGCTGAACCCAGATGTTGATGGAGAGACAAAGTCCAAATGGTTTTGGGGCTAAACTTTGTGCAATTGATTATTTTGGAGATGGGAAAGAGGCCAAGCTGCCTGGCAAGTCACGCTTTCCACTTTGGGCTGTGCTGAGTAGCAGGTATCTGCAGCCACTGCTCCTGAGTGCTCAGACTTTTTCTCAGGGATGCCTGCCTGAGTATACAGAAGTTCCTGAGCTACCATAAATTATCAATATTTTCAGTGTTTGAATTGCTGGAAGTGAATAGAGATGAGAATCAGGCCTTTAATATTTTCTTTCTCCCATGTACATTCAGAACACTTACCTAGTGTAGTGTTGAGCGCCTACTGTTTGCCAGGTGTATGCTAGTTGCTGAGGATATAAAGATGTGTAAGCTATGGCCTCTGGCCTGAAGGAATTCATATAAGTTTGGAAGTGACTTTGAACTACAGTGGTAGTTCTCAATTCATGTTGTTTTACATGATATTTTGATGTTTGTCATCTCAACCATGGTTTCTCTGATATCACAGCATTCAGTAATTTGAAGAGTCATAACAACATCTATTTATTTTTATTTTCATCTGTTTTATTTTTTAGATATATATGGGGGGGGGTCTTGTACTAACTTTTATTTTTATTAACTTTGGCATTTGTTATTTACTTGGTCAATTATTACTTCTAAATCCAATGAGTCATACTGTAGTAGTTATTTAAAAATAGAAAACAATGCATTAAAGAGAGTAAAAGTAGCCAGTGCTTTTACAACAGGGAATGAGAAACTTCTCATTTACGATCAGATCCCTTCCTTGAAATGAAAGCACAACAACCTAAGTGAGAAGCACTTCTCTTATTCATGGCTAAAACTACCTGATCGCATGACTTGTAGTATCTATTAAAGAACATTCTTGTAAAGCCATGTCTCATTGGTTTCTAATTCCTCTGTAATCATGAGTTTGAGTCATAGACCTTTAGTCAACTGGATTTTTGTTTTTATTAGAAAGATAGAATAAGACATCTCATTTCTCTCTTTGCTGGACTTGTGGCTGAAGCAATAAATCCTCAAATTGTCCTCTGTATGAATGCATAAAACTAACTGTTGACAACCCCCTCAACAAGCTTATTCTTTATAAGTGGGGAGCGGGTTTAATAACCTCAATGCCCCCAGCACCTAACATCTATGGAATTCAATTCTTGGTGGGTTGACTTTATTTCCTGTATTATTGGTTCCTTCAGAAACATATTTTGGCAAAGACATACAAAAATACATACCCTGCACTTTACTTAGTGTGGGATGGAGGAGATTCCTTTCCCAAACTGGTTTAAAATTTCTTTCTAATTAAAATTTCTATATGCAGTGTTCACAGGAGAGGTTAATATTTACATATGCTTTTATTCACTTGGAGAAAAAACACACACACTTGATTTAGAGATTTGTGCTGTGGTGACTGTAATCTGCTGGTAATGTCATGACCCAAGACGTCAACCCTTCTCTTGCTCTATGGGCCTGAAATAACGTTTCTTCTTGATCTGTTAATTACATCACTGTCTGACCTGCCTTTAAGCGGCATTCCTTTCTGCTCCTGAGCTTTGTTGTTATGCCAGACAGGGGGGAAGAAAACTATTCAGCAGGGCTGTATGAATAACTGTGGGTAGCCAGGGAGCCATGGACTGAAAAAGGGGTGGGCAGGGCGCATGGTGGTGTCAAGGAGGGAGCTGCCGCGATGGATGTAAAATCGCAATGCCAAAAATATCATTGACTTGTGATTCTCAAATTCATTCCTACCTCCTTTGATATGTTTTTATTGTTAGGAAACCTCAGAACAGATTTCCTCCTTTTGGGCCTTACTCTGTAGTGATAATGAAAACATGAAAAGAAGGCAAGAAAAAAGAAATGTGCTTTTCAGAGAAAGGATTAGCGTTTTGACACTGTTAAAACTTGACACCTCAGACGCTCTGTATGTTATAGGGTTTAGCATTAGCTTATCACAGTGCCATGCTCTTTGTTGCCCATGATCTAATATCTCTTTCCACATATTTCACCTGTTTATTTTGTAGGGGAGAAAATTGGATCTTATTATTCTATTAAAAAATTGTAATGGTATATGATGATAGATGGGTAAACTAACTCTATTATGGTAGTCACTTCACAAAATATACATATTAAATCATTATATTGCACATCTTCAAATTACACAATGTTATGTATCAACTAGAGACTCAGTGCATCAAGTTCTTGCTCAGGTAGAGTACCTAGGCTCCCTAATTGAGGCCTTCTGGCTGCTAGCCCAGGCCTTCCTTCCCCTGCTGCTGGCCAGGGACTTCCTTTATTTCGTGCTGCCCCCTGGTGGTCAGTGCACATCATAGTGAGTGATTGAACTCACAGTCTCCTGGTCTAACCCCCGAGGGGACACTTTGCATATTAGCCTTTTATATATATAGATTATATCTCAATAAAGCTGGGGGAAAAATTAGATCTTATTAAAATGGTTGTAACAGACTTTATTCAAACCCTGATTTCAAATAGCAAAGTGACTGTCTAGAACAGTGGTCACCAAGCTTTCAGACCTCCATGGACCATCCTTTGGCAAATGCTGGTCTAGAAAACAGGTATTGCTAATATTTAAGATGCCTATCCTAATGGAGTGTCTGTCCTTTCCACCCACAAAATAGAGATATATTATCATATCAGTTCCATTTTAGAAGATAATGTTCTTCAAGTTACAAAGTGAAATCTTATTGCCATCCTGAAAATTGATGAGACAAAGATGTTAAAACTAAGGAATTAAAGACTGAAGTGTTTTTTATTTTTTCTTTCCTCTATACAAAGTTTTAAAACAGTGGGGAAGAGAACAGAATTTCCCTTCTATTACATGA